AACTCGAACTCCGAATCCTGGGCCTTCAGCCGGTAGCCAGTCACTATACTGATGAAGGATAAAACAATGTTGTTCCTTCGCTAACCACTCGTAAAAAAATGTTTTCTTACGTCATCGATTTACTTTAGTTCAGAGGTTCCCGGAAAGTGTAGGGCGCACCCCCTTGGAGGTTGCAAATGGATTTCTGAGGGAGGGTGTTATTTGTATGAAAACTATTTTACAAGACATATGAAAGAACATTTTAAAAATTCTTTGCTTTGCTGAGGTAATTTAGTTGATATACAACAGTACAGAATTCAAACTTGTAGAGCGTCGACAGTTTTAGGAAGTAAACGACCATATAAATCTGTGTTGTATTATGAGAGACAAGGTTTTTTTCAATACAGACTGGTCACTTGATAGCTTACGTGCGATATGCAGAAGACACAACAATTAAGAAGACAAGTTTTTCTGCAAACCTATGTAAAGAAGAGCAACAACAAAATACTCTTCAAAATTGCTGATGATTTCGAGAAAGAAAAACGTCAAATGGTCAGACCGTGTTAGAGTATGCGGCTTGCGTAATGGTGGCCAGTAAGCACCAGCGGTATGATACACAGTGAATCACTGACTATGAAGGAATTATTCCCACAGCTGAGTGAAGTGTTGTATACAGTGATCAAAACTGTAAACTGTACATAAGACTCGTCCATTTGAAAGCAAACATTTTGCATAATTATGACAGGAAATAGGGGCACAGAGTCAGTTGTTATTGTTTTACTGTCATTCTTGTTGGCTGTCAACCGAAAACGCTGTGGCTCGTGTTTACAACTTTGGAGGAGTAGCACTGTTTTTAGAAGAGGAAAACCTAGTACAACGTTTTGTTTCTTAGCGTTCTTAAATGATATTTTCGAGAAGTTGAACACAAGCATGCACGGCAACGATATACCATTGTAGTGACCATTAGAGTGAAGGGATCTGTTTGGAAGTTGGGCTTGTGGGTCAGAAGACTAAGAGTGAAGACCTTTTTAATTTAATTCGCTTAGCGGTGGTGGAGTCCAGCTGGGTCCACTCGGCACGGAGGCCACTGATTGGCCTACTGTATCCTGCCCCGGGTGATTATGATGATGGAGAATTTGGTGGAATGAAGATTGGCAGGGGAAACCGAAGTACTCGGAGAATACCTGCCCCAGCGCCACTTTGTCCACCACAAATCCCACTTGACCAGACCCGGGATCGAACCCGGGCCGCCGCGAAGGGAAGCCAGCGACTAACCGCTTGAGCTATGGCGCGGCCTAAGAGGGAAGACTATGCAAGATTTATTTGAGGATTTCACGGCGGTGGGTAAGAATTCTTGGATGTGGCGCTCTGTAGATCTTGTGTGAACAGACGTTTCGGAGGAATGTATCGCCTCCACCTTCAGGGTAAAGAAGTCCATGAACCCAGAAGAAGGTATTTTTAAAAGGGAAGAGTCTGGAGATGTTTTTTCGTTTGAAGGATTCTGTGGAGGAGAACAGTGTGAAAACAGTGACACGGGAATTGATCAGTTTATCAAAGATTGTTTGGCTAATTTGCAGGCCATATTTGAAATCATTTTCCAGAAGCAGCAAGTGATAAGTGAAAATTGATCACGGATCCATTCCATGTTTATTCTCCCCCAAATTACAACTTTTCTTGTGAAGAAGAGTAAAATGATTTTGACATTATATCTAATATTTATTTAAAAGTTCAATTTCGTAGGAAATTTTTGGGTGGGCATTGGAGAGGATTTCCCTGATGTCAGCAAGAAAGTTGTGAACTTCCTCCTTCCTTTCGCAAGATCCTAACACCACGAAACTAGATTTTCAGCAGTGGCAGCCGTCAAAACAAAGCATCCTTCTATGGTGAACTTGCATTTCAAAATTTCAACCCTGTATGATAACTTATATTCCAAGAGGCAACCACATCCATCCCACTCATCCAGGTATGAAGGGTTCTTTAAATTAAATGCAGTTGTGTAGCGTAGTGGAGGAGCCACTATGCTACAAGCCGGAAGGTCGCGGGTTCAAGTCCCGATGAGGGCATTGGATTTTTTTTTTCAGTTGACCTAATCCTTCCAGCCGCACTAGGCCCTGGGGTTTACTCAGCCTCTAACAGAAATGAGTACCAGGAATTAATTAAATAATTTTCCTGGGGAGTAAAGCGCGGCCGGCGCGTAAGGCTGACAACCTTACCGCCATCTTTGAG